TCTACACCACACCTCTACACCACACCTCTACACCACACCTCTACACCACACCTCTACACCACACCTCTACACCACACCTCTACACCACACCTCTACACCACACCTCTACACCACACCTCTACACCACACCTCTACACCACACCTCTACACCACACCTCTACACCACACCTCTACACCACACCTCTACACCACACCTCTACACCACACCTCTACACCACACCTCTACACCACACCTCTACACCACACCTCTACACCACACCTCTACACCACACCTCTACACCACACCTCTACACCACACCTCTACACCACCCCTCTACACCACCCCTCTACACCACCCCTCTACACCACCCCTATAAACCAACCCTATAAACCAACCCTATAAACCAACCCTATAAACCAACCCTATAAACCAACCCTATTAACCAACCTTACAAACCAACCTTCCAAACCGGCCACACATTTTCATATAACCAAGGAAGGCATCACGTAACACGGAACCACACATGGAATATATCATTTAGAAATAAACGCACAAACGTATATTCTTAGAACCACATGCAGAAAATCAATTTCAAATATGGTAGCGTAACATTAATATATTTATTCAATAATCTGATCACTTTATACGACCTTACCTCAGCAGTTAAGGCCCCATCAATTAGCACCTAAACTAACTCCAATTGTTGAAGCTAATATCTGATATTAATAATTCAATGCTTGTGATTTCATATCTGGTCTTAGATTTTCACCATCTCAACTGGTTCATCTTTTATAATACTGTCACTAATGATTATTGTGTCTAACCATCTGTTTAATGAATTAGACCAACTTTTATTGTTAAGAATATATTTTATTCAATAATCTTAATCTCCATGTTCACTTTACCTTTGTGGTCAAATTTCATTACCTCTACTTAACTTCAACCATCACTTTTATTACCATCACTTTAACTACCACTATCTTAAACATTATCCTTTTTAACCATCCTTATTATATACACCGTCGCGCACTAAATACCTTTCCTGAAAAACAAGACCGACCCGGAAAAACCTGTTTCCATGTCACGTTTTCTAACAAACAACACCGACCCGCGAAAATCTGTTCCATATCACGTTTCCTAAAAACCATAACCAACTCTCATCCATGTCGCCCAACCCAGATCAATTCTAAAAAATAATACCAAACCGAGAAAAATACTATCTAATACTTCCCTACGCATATTTACTCTATCCAGCCTTAAGAGCAAAATAAAATATCTTCCCATAGTATGCAATTCTGCCCAAAATATAAAAATCTCGCCTTAACTATGGGATATAGATGAAATTAAAAATGTAATAGTAACTCTAATTGCTCAACTTAAAATCTAATTTACATAATTCGATTCTTGTAAATTCATATCTGGTTGTAATTTTTTACCATCTCAACTCTATCTCCTCTTATCCCCACTGTCACAATCTAATATTCACATTTGCCTTAAACTCATATATCCCACCAAAATAATAATCTACTATCTCATTTATTTCAATAATCTAAATCAACACAAATAATTATCCCAATCTTCCTACTCACATTCTAATATTGGTACTACTACAAGTTATAATAACTAATCTATCATTATACTGTTGTATCTATCATTATACTGTTGTATCTATCATTATACTGTTGTATCTATCTCGACACCTGGATATTAAACTACCTTATATTTTTATCATACACAATTTAAAACACACTAAATTATATATATTCCCACCTCATAAGACTTTAAGATGTTTGCGCAGGTTCGAAACCAGGACGGCACCTATTTCTTGAGATTGGAATAGGTGAGTGTTATTGGACTGTTGATCAGGGTGGGACATGGTTGTACTGGAGTGATAGTGGATATATTAACTGAGATCTAAGGTATAAGTACAATTATACGTTAGTTGTTTATTCAAGCTCTTGGTTTTTTATAAATTCTAAATATAGTATACAAAATATAAAATATAATTTAGTTCATAAAGTGAACATTAGAAAAGAGAAAATATTTTCTAGAAACTTGAAATCTGGTCTGCTTATATACCTTTTGAAAACTAACAGTTACCCTGAATGTGTTCCTGTCAGCAAAGTATATCTTTCAGACATAGGGTTAGATCTGGATAACTTAAGATTGTCATCTACTGATTCCCAGAATCCAACAGCCCCCCGGAAGCTTTAGATGCAAGCTTTCCATAATAAATTAATTCTGTATGTTAATTTATTAAGTAGTTAAATTTGAGACTAATTCATCTCTTAAGGTTTCAAATTGGGATTTAGCTAAAATTTTAGTTAGGATATCAGCCTGTTGGTCTTTTGTATTAACATATTCCAAATCAACAATATCCTGTTCCACTGCATGTCTGATTTTGTGATATCTCAGTGCGATATGTTTAGTTCTTGGATGCATTACTGGATTCTTACTTAACTTAATTGCTGGTTCATTGTCAACATATAATTTTGTTTTGTTTAGTGTGAGATCCATAACAGTAGTAAGATCACCTAACCATTCAATTTCTTTAACAGCTTCACTAGCAGCAATATATTCTGCTTCGGTGGAGGAAAGACAAACTGTTGTCTTGATCTTTTTAGATGACCAAGTGACACAACCACCAGCTAGGCGAGTGACATAACCCCCCGTTGAGAAGGGCATATCCGCCAAAGAACCATGCGAAGCATCAGAATAGACAGTGAGCTGAAGCGGTGAGCCTGCACGATAAGCGAGACCATGGAAACGAGTAGTATAAAGGTATTGCAAAACACGATGAGCAGCATTTAAATGAACTACACGAGGATCCTTAAGGAACCGAGAAAGCAGCGAGACAGCATAAGCAATATCAGGACGGCCTGCGTAGCAATA